GCGCTTGGTGATGTGAGAGCCTGGTCCGGTGAGAACCCGGCGTGCTCCGTCCCGGCTTTGTAGGGATGCGAGGTCAATGGTCTAACGACTACGGCATGCACGACTATGAGTACCCCCCCCCGCCCCCCCCCCACATCACACTGATTTCAGCCCCGAGGAAACGGTTTACACACGAACAGTACTCAGCTACGAAGGTCCACGCACATGCCGTACTCAGCTACGATGGTGAGAGATGTATGAGCTTTTTGTATAAGCGTCTTTTTAGCTGATTTAACATGATCGATACGCCACACATGGCAGAAATGAGATGCTCAAGCACGTGGTTGGTTGCTATTGCGTTGTCACGAGTTTATCTCACCTTCGTTAGAGACGCGAATGATTTCTCAAGGACGGGCATACAGCCCAGAAGGGAGAACAAGCTTCGTGCTTTGGCGCATTGAAAGCACTACTAATGAATGTACTTGCTGCGTTGACCTCCTTAGGCTCGTTACTTCTTCATGTGCACCTTCGTCCAACACGAGCTTTCGACGCTGCTCTTGCTGGGCCAAAATGCGCTTATTCCCGGCTTACCGGTTCANACTTCTTCATGTGCACCTTCGTCCAACACGAGCTTTCGACGCTGCTCTTGTTGGGACAAAATGCGCTTATTCCCGGCTTACCGGTTCATAAGCAACAAGGTTTTTGTGTGATTGAGAGCGAAGTTTCTGATTGAGAGCGAGATTGCGCGATGCGCTGTAGCTGGACTACCGCTGAGAGGTGGAGCTTGCTGCGTGACTTGAATTGAAGGCCTAGCCCGTAGCTACAAGCCGATACCCTGGTCATCCTGTGGGCGTCTCTCGTTGTGGAGCTACAGCGGGGAGCAAAATCTACAGCAGAGCTCACCGCCCGCGATCAAATCGCCCTGAAACAGTTTGAGGCAGGAATAGCCAATCTGGGGAAATCTAGCAATTTGTCTAGCTCCTAGCTGCAGCATCCGATCGCGATGACACGCATATGCTCGTGACGCTACTGATGAGACCTTCAATTTGCGCCGCTTCTTGGAAGAGCCCGCCCCCTACTTCACAAGAAATAATGGCAAGAGGCGTCTGGACCCGAAATTTCGATTTTTTTGGCTCCTGCTCTCAATCGTATACTCCGCTCTCAATCAGGCGAAAACCCTGTTAAGCGCTGTTGAGCCTCCTGGTTTAGCGGTTCATGACCGCTACAGAGGTTTAGCGGCGATGCCCTGAATAGGTTAAAATATTTCTTGACAGTATGGGCCGCTAAACCGGGCCCACGACGGTTTCTTGTGTTTGAATGACGGACACCACAGAACCTTTCGGGTGTAGTCTAAACCAGCGTTTTCAATAGACGTTGCGCCCCGCAACATTTTGGTGGCGATCTGGGATACCCGCAACACGAGACGGGGCCTCTAACAGACGAACATTCAATTACGGCACTTTTCTCGCCGGCGAGAAAAAACATAGATCTCTCCTTTCTCGCTGGTGAACGAGACGTATTCTGCCGCTAAGCAGGTGACAAACAGGTGGTACAACTGTACACTTTTGTTCTGGTTTTGAAGCTTTTTTTTGCAAGAATAACGTCGAATTTCGTCCAAAAACCTGCCTCCGGCGGCTCCTCCGGGATGGCCCTTACGCGGGGGGCGCCCTCCCGAGGGGCACCTCCGGAGGGCTCAAGTGACGCAACACGCCTTCGGCGTGTCGTTGCGGCAACCTGCGGTTGCCGCCCAATAGAACCGACTGCGCCCTATCTAAAACGTTGGTGAAACAGAGAGAGAGGAAAAAAAAATGGGTCCTTCTGGGGAACGGAAAACGAGCTCCTGTAAGATATATGGGAATCACGATGTCAACACCCGCACCTATCGTGGCGATGCCGCGGCTGACCCAGCCCTTGGAGCAATCCACGAAGTGTACCTCGTTGTCAAGTGGCTGTATCAGCGGCGGCGCAAGAAAACGCGAAACAGGTGATGGAAAAAATTCCGTCAGCGGATATCCTCGACTTCAAGCGAAAAAAGAAGATGGCACGTGCGCGACCGTGTCACACTCGATACCGCTGAAACAACAGCTCACCACATTTTGGAGCAATGGGTGTGTCGTTCCCGACTGACAGGAGAGCTTGTGGAGGTATTTGGTGGTTTCAAGTTTGATTCCTGCAAACATCTGGGTATGCGTCACGGTTTACGTAAGAGGTGGTCTGCAAGGTCAAAAGCAGTATCAGTATTTCCGAGGTATTGCGCTACCGTCGCGCGCCTAAGATGAGATCTGGATCAACCTGTGTTGCAGAAAATAATGTACATACTCACATGACGCTGAGGCTGCGGTGCTCGCTCAGGCTACGGTGCTGGTGCTCGTGTGGCCGCACACGCAGCTAATCATGCAACAATATCCACACCCAGTCTCGTCGTCAAAGTGAGCTAGGGAGAGAAACACCCTCTCCAGTAGTGCTGACGACTTGGTCGAAACCAGCAGTGGTCTCCATGTTGGGATACCGTTCCTTGGAACATTCCTTGAGCGGTGCTTAGCCCTTTGACGAGAAAGTAAAGTTCTAGGAACCTTCTAGGTAGATAAAGGGGTTCCTTTTGTGAGAACCTGGAACCTGGCCAGGACTGCAGAGCTGCAGAGCACAGGAGGATTCTGCTCGCTTCTCCGCTCCTCTGTGCATGCTCTTTTCCTCTCTGCTCTCTCCGGTGCTTCTGTGTTCTTTCCCTCTTTGTATGTGTAGTGCTGTGCTGTGTAGCGTGCGTTGCCTCATTCCCACCTTCGAAGCGGAAAACAGCAGTCGTACGTCGAGATTTGTTCACACAACAACATCACCAGCAGCCAGCAGCACCCATCCTGAGAAGCATCCTGATCGATCGAGTCAGCCCATCACACAAGGCTCTCGCCTCGATTTGTACCAAGGGTCGACGGTCGGGTCGGCGCTAAAGAGGTCGTGATCGGCCTGCTAGCCCGCGACAAAGGACGGAGAGAGAGAGAGAGAANGCTTCTCCGCTCCTCTGTGCATGCTCTTTTCCTCTCTGCTCTCTCCGGTGCTTCTGTGTTCTTTCCCTCTTTGTATGTGTAGTGCTGTGCTGTGTAGCGTGCGTTGCCTCATTCCCACCTTCGAAGCGGAAAACAGCAGTCGTACGTCGAGATTTGTTCACACAACAACAGCACCAGCAGCCAGCAGCACCCATCCTGAGAAGCATCCTGATCGATCGAGTCAGCCCATCACACAAGGCTCTCGCCTCGATTTGTACCAAGGGTCGACGGTCGGGTCGGCGCTAAAGAGGTCGTGATCGGCCTGCTGGCCCGCGACAAAGGACGGAGAGAGAGAGAGAGAAAGAGAGAGAGAAATACCGGCTTTCTCTTTGCTGTTCTTTTTAGTACCGTGTATGGCTGTGTAACCGTCTCATGAAGAGCTTGCCGAAAACGGATCATTTGAATTCTGCTTCCTCTTTGACGTGGAGCAATCGAGCCTTGAAAATCGGTCCACGGGGCGTGGTATCGGATGCAACCTGTCTAGTCTACACTGCTGTAGCATACGATAGTGAGAGCGGTGGAGAGAGGTAGACAGGAGGCGAGAGAGAGAACCATGCCCGATACGTCTGAACGTGCCACAAAAACGCCGCTGTTGATGGTGTTTTTGAGCACAACATGGTCCGAGCATCACCCGTGAAACAATGCTTTTACTGAAAATATCGGTTCTGCAATAATCACACAGACTACCCGTTCGAGATACAACCAGAGTCGAAACGGATGAGCTGGAGTATCTTAAGTGAGTGGAGGGAAAACGGCTTGTCGATCACGCTCGTTGTTTAGACTACCGAACCTAGTCTTGATGTCTTTTCACCCTTGGAAAATCCCCCAAGGAGAGACGAAAACAAGTGCCCCCATGGAGTGCCCACCTCCCTTACCTGTTGGGTATTGACTAGCGCACAAGGTCTTTGAAATCCAACAAGCGGGTAAAAAGAAAGAAACTGCAAAAGAGGAAGGGGAGTTCCATTTCCATGTATGTACCACTAGGAATGTGAGTATCTGGTAGATTACAACACATTTCGCACTAGCACCTTTCGAACACTACCGCTACTCTCGTTGGCGCCACCCTTGGCAGCAATGGAGCGAATACACCATGTTGTTGTTGTTGTTGTCTTCACATTAAAAACAATCCCGGTCTCTCTATCGAGTACCTCCTTCTGTCTCAATCTCTCCGTACTAATCCAGCACTTGACTCGGTCAATTTCCGTGGTCACAGGCTAACGTACCTAGAAAAGGTATACCAAAATACAATGAACCCCAAGGGTTAGCAGAACGATAAAATACAAGAAAACAAAAGAATCAGAAACAAATAAATAACTAAATAGTGGAACGTGCGCACCACCAGCCTGGGGGGTAGCCTTCCGGAAGGACACCAAGGGTCAGCAGTACGTGCGAGTAAAAAAACAAAACAAAATAAAACGAAATAAACCAAAGACAGACGAGGACATGAACAAACTCGCACAGAGACAGGGATATCCGTAGAGACAGTCTGCGCGCGACAGCAAACGGGGGGGAGGGCAACAGAGAAACTAGTCGCTGAAATTCAACCGCAACATGTCACGTCACGCGGTCGGTCTCTTCTCGCTTGCTTTCTTCCCGCCCCGTTTCCTCCCGCCCCCCTCCCGCCCCGTTGATTGGTGCCGTATCTAGACTATTTTTGGGCCCGCTGTCTCCTCGTTTGATGGCTCGTTGTCGGCTGGCCTTCTCCTCGCCCTTGTGCCAAGAGGCCATAAACCTCTCAGCTCCCTGTAGCACCCCCGCGTGCCACGGTACCCCCCCCTCCACCTTCGCCGCCTCGTCCCAGTCTGGCTTCGGGATTCCGAAGAAGCTCCGCTTGTCGGGCGTGGAGCCGTGTCTGGCTTCGAACATCTTCAGGTCGTCCTTCAGGCATATCAGCCAGTTCTGCTCCGGGCTTCCCCGGCCCGGGTTCTCCCCTCCCACCAACTCGCCGAACATCAGCCGTTTCGGAAGCCGCCCGTCCGGCTGTCTTGCCACGGCCCCCGCAAAGAGCACGCGCCGTTGACGGACAGTGGCCTCCACGCTCTGGCAGCCCACCCTCTTCAGCGCCTGGGCGTATGACAGCTGCCGGTAGGTGCCTCGCTTGCGCCGGTAGCCGATAACTCGCAGGACACCATACACCATTTGAAAGAGGTCTGGCGATAAGGTGACACTAACCATTCCATGGTCCAAGGCAATGATTCCCCGCTTTTCAGACCGAGCCGTGTGATGTATACTTCTCCAGGGATCTTGCGACACCCCCTCTTACATTTTATGATATATATTCTTGAAATACATGTTAACGAGATTCGTCTATTGTTAAACATGTGAGAGTACACAACACCAAACGACTTAATGGACAGGAAGCAACAAACGGCATCCCCCATGAAATACTGCTGCTACCACACCGTTGTACCCACAACCCGCTACATGTGCGTGATGCGCAATTTACCGAACTGGTCGAACGACCTCATAAGAGGCTTGCTGCAGAAGCAGCGACCGCAAGTCCACACTTCCTTACGGCAGGCATGCAGACGTTCGTAGAGGAGTTCGGTGGCACTTGAGACTGCCACGATCCATGTCTTGCGGTTGATTTTTACATTTTCCAACTCGTTGATCAAGATGATGTTAAAAGTGAATGTGTCGAACCCCATGCCGCTGACGCTGGGTAGGCGCTTGGTCTTCTTCGAGTGGTTTTGTTCGTGAGCGTTGCAGTTGACACCCGTGGGCTGGGGGCACCGGGACACTCCGCCATACTTCATTTGGCAGTGCCCTTGGTGGTTGCCCTCGTGCGGCCCGTCTGGGCCTAGCCAAACACCTACTCTCTGGCCGTCGTAGCAGTGCCCGAATTCACCAAACGACCGTTCCCGCTTGAAGTTGAAGGAGACCCCGTAGCCAGGTAGCTTTCCATCCTTGTCCAACTCCCCCCCCCAGATAGTCAGAGAGTCGCTAGACAGCGCCATCTGCAACGCTGTGACGGAGTGTTCGGCCACACCAAAACCGACCCCTGCCTGGACTAAACGGTCTGTGTTAATGGTATTGGGAAACACACCGGAACACGGGGGAATAAAAAGAGTTTGGTGAGTGTTCACGGAACCATGTGTGTGCATTCACAGAGCAACGTAAGGTTGTGGGCTGACTTTCCCGGGG